AATTGATTCAGATTCACAGAAGTGCTACACAGTGGTCAGAGGGAAAAAGATCCCATTAAATCTGAGGAGAAAACTTTTTCATTTTTAGTGAGATGAAGGACTGAGTATGATGGATAAATCCTCTGGGTGGTTTGATGCTTTTTGGTCCAACCTATTCCTAAGAGATTTTGCAATTGTAAGCTGATGTTGAGCCTTTATTAGGCCATTATGAATTATGCTCTTATTTGTAATGCAAAGAATGCATTTCATGTCTCTCGATGACCTGTCCCATGTACGTGAATGCTTAAGGACTTGTAATTTGCCTTAAATCATTTGCACCGACAAACTCTTGTGTTTCCTGATAAATAAAACACTCTCCAGCCAGACCATTCAGGCAGCATTTTCACATCTGGCTTTTGTGAGCAGCTTTCAGCTGAACTGGGTGAAACAATTATCTTGACACTATCCTTAATGGTTTCTTGAAGATTTTATCCCCTCAGTGCTCAGATCCCAGAGTGTGGTGTGTCCTAGATACCAGTGCTAAGAATTAGAAGATCCTTATAATACTATGAGCTCATGGAGCTTGTGCATCCCTGTTTTTGAATTCTGTTCTATGGCAGGCTGTAAGGGTTGCACTCAACTTTTTAGCTGGAAAGTCTCTTGCTTTTGCTTTCTTTAAAATGTTTTCCTGACATTTTACCTGCTGTTGAGATCAGACTAAAAGAGCTGCTTGAAACATTCCTTTAATTCCTGTGTTTGCTGCTATGGAATCATGTAACAGTACTGTGATTCGAGAAATGCCTTTGAAACTTTGCTTAAAAAAAAAAAAAAAAAAAACTAAATCTGAAGTGTGTGTCGGGGGGGAAGACACGTGTAAAGGAGCCTGGTGAATGGAATATTTCGGAGAACAAGGTTCATTTCTTTTGCTTATAGAAGCTATGTTTCTCTATGACACTAGTCCCCAAGCTTGCATTCAAAACCGCAAAGCTAAAGGTTTGCATCACATGACTAACATTAATTCTTTTCTTGTTTGCACTCTTTGTGTCTGTAGTGCAGTTTTTGTTTCCCTTAGCCCCCGCCTGTCAGCTGTTCCATTTCTACTTCTCTTTGACAGTGTTTTTTTTTTCTCAGCACAGCTTTTACTGCTAATTTATCTGCATCGTACGTGCTATTTTTCCTGCCCTCCTGTCTTGTACTGTCAGTATTTCTACCACCTAAGCCCTCAGGCTGGACTCTCTGCTGTGTGATGGCATGAATGTGAGCTGTGGTGCAGGGCAGCCTTGGGGTCATCCGTGCTGTCCACGCAATAGTTTGGTGCATAGTTTCCTTGTGAGCTGGTGTGGGTGTTCCAGTTAGACTGCTACCTCTGTTTCCACTTAAATTATGTGACTAAGCCTGTCTTTCGAAGAGCAGCAGTTGTGTTGGAGGAAGATGAGCATCTACGGGTAAGGTTGCTTTGGCCTCAGGCCACCAGAACTTCGAGTTGTGAAGGGTTATCTTCATTTTCAGAGTTATTGGCTGATAAAATGTCTTTGAAGGCCAAATGAGTCACTTTTGAGAGTGAGGCTCTTCTCACTCTTCCTATTGCAGCAAGGTCCTGTTCCTATTCCAAGGTTCTTGTTCCAAGTTCCTGTTCCAAGGTTCCTATTAGGAATATAGCCCTGGTGGAAGTGGTTTCTGTCAGGTGTAACTTTGGCCTTATCTCTTCATCTTTGCAGGAAGGCTTTGGATCACTGGAGGTTTATTCATTACAGCATCTTTTCCTGGAGACAACATTCTGCAGTTCTCATAGACCAGGGCTACATGTGTCTAAGTGTACAGTTATATAATAGAAAGGGGACACTATCCCATTATTCTGGACCATAAAGTCTAAGTAACTGAATACCTTGCCAACAAACTGTGGGAATTTTGCATTTTCATGCTACTAAAATTCAGGATTCTGCCTGCTAGACCAATCTATCATCTTTTTGCATACAGACATACGAGCCCGCACTTGCATTGGAGTTTATAAAGGCATCGTTGCTGCCTGGCACCATGTGTCCCCACTCATGCTGTTACAGTCCTCAAAAACTTTATTTGGGCTTTCTACTTCCATCTTGTCATTGTCAAGTGAGTTTTTGCTTCTCTCAGGGCAAGGGATATGGCCCAAGAGAAGGGCTGGAGTACTCTCTTCATGCCTGCTGCTCTCTCTGTAGTCTATGTGAGGCGAACCAGGGTTATGTTTTTGTCAGAAACAGATGGAGGAGGACAGGGTGATTCTGGCTGCCTTTCTGCTGCCTGACATTGTTGTCAGAAATAGACCTGGCTCCTGTGAAAGAACACTGTCTGCCTTGACAGCAAGATGCTTCTTGCATTTAAATTAAAACATCTGGACTTAAACTGGCATATGTAGAGCCATCACAGACCCTTCAGTCAGTCCACCTGTCAGGTAAACACAGGCTCTTCTGCTCTTTGGTGCTTTCTCAGGAGCTTCCTTGTATAATCTCAGCCAGAGACCCTAGTTAGTCTAGAAGTAATGGCAATGTTGCCAAAGTAATCCAGTGTGCACCAGAGATACATATTTGGGTGGAATGTTCAGCCCTGTAACACCTAGATTTTCTTGGATAGCTTCTGTGGAGAATGAAGCTGCAGTCAGCACAGGTTATGGGTATGGAGAGTAAGTTACAGTCTGCAGCTGAAGGCTTTTAGACATAAATGCAGTCCCATGAGTGGCCTTGGATTTAGGAACTATGCCCTCCTTATGGCAGCTCTATGCTGTTTGAAATGGGAAATTTGGGGTGCTTTGGCTCTTCGTGAGTTTTGAGTGGAGAGACAACAAAGGGCAGGAGAGGGCTGAGTTGGCTCTGAGTAACTAGTATGTGTAGACTTCTGAGTGCACCTCGTGTTACATAACAGAACTGATTATATGTTTTCTAACCGGGTTGCAGATGCCTGGGTCATAGTCGGTCATGGGATGAAGCCAAGACTCTGCAATGCCTGCTGGGTTGTGCTGTCTCCTTGCAGTGTCTCCTGTCGTGGCTTGTGTGGGGTTTAAGCTGCTGCAGAGCACGGGTGCTGCTGCTTGGGATTGCTGTGCTGTGCAAGCACCCTTTTAGAAGCTGGATGCAGTGACTCCTGCAAATGTTCCCTGCATCTGGGGTCCACGTTAATCCCTCAAACCAACCCACTAAGTGGGGCTTCTACCCTCCATGTGCCTAGTGCACTATATATATTTTTATATATTTTTTTTTTCTTGAATTTTGGAAGAGATGGTACTGAAGCTTGAGGCTCTGGGATGTCTTTCTCAACAATCGCCAGGAGGTTGGAACCGCTGCTGCAGTCTGTTCAGTGTGTGTCACTTCTGAGGAAACCTCAGGCTCCAAAGGGACCGTAGCGAGCGCTGTGGCCTGATTAGGCTCCTGCTGCCGAGTAAGAATAGCCCTGGTACCAGCTCAGCATTTGGCTTTCTGTCATTTTCTTTCATTAGTTTCGGAATGGTTCTTCCATGCCCAGCGCTTTGATTCTCCAGCTCCCCTGTTCTATTCTACTAGTCTGTGCCATCATGTTTCTATTTAGATTTTGACAGAATCGAAACACTGATCTTAAACATTCTTTTTGTGAGGCTTTCTCCTCAGTGCATTAAGTGTACTTCCCCTCCTTTCAGAGAGGGGAATCTGTTCTGTGCAGGTTTTCTGAGATTATGAGGAATGGTTGGTACAGGACACACTGCATGGGCTGGCATGCAGAGAAATAAGGCATTCTCATGAGTCCAGGTTTTCTTGTGAATGTTATGAGTTGGTTAACAACTCATTAACGAGCTCATAACTCCCCCTGCTTTTTGGGTAAGGGGGAAGATCTTTTGAAGGAAATGTAGTTTTCAATTCTGCACGTTTGAGGTGTCCTTTGCAAAGTTTCCATTGTTAATGGGAGGTGAAAAAGCAAAAAGTTGGACCGTTTTTATCTGTTAGCATTTACCTGACTTGTTTTGATGGCTCTCTCTTTCCTTAGCACTAGGTAAATCCTTGGAATCTGTCTGGTGACGATCTGTAGATTCATTTTGTTTATACTTCTTGCAGGTGAAAAAGGAATCGGAAAAACAACCGGAAAAAAGCTGTATTACAAAGGCACCACATTCCATCGTGTGGTTAAAAACTTCATGATTCAGGGTGGGGACTTCAGTGAAGGTAAAATACATTCTTTAAAACTGTAGTAGCTTGGAACAGAAATATTCATCTATGAAGTTATAGTGTGATTTTTAGAAAATGGAAGTATTAAAATGACATAATTTCCTTTGTTTTAAATTATAACTCAGATTCTCGTTATTTGTCAACTTTTGAAATTCCAAGCTGTTTTGACTGAAATAAGTCTCGTTTAGAACGAATTAAGCTTAAAAATAAGTTTGTGTTGATAACACTTATGAATTAAAATCCAAACAATAATCTTACAACTTCATTTTTTTTTGCTCACATAGTAGAGACACCACTAGTAATCCTCATTCTGTTTATACTGTTTGAGTACATAAATGCTAAAAATCCATAATTTATGCAAAATTAGATTTTTTTAGGAGCTTTTCTTTTTTTTCCTTCCCTGTGATATGTGCACAACCTAATTTTTCTGCCTAACTCCATTCCCCCAAATGTTTGTCCTTACTGAAATGTCTCTGGGATCTTTACTGATAACTTCAACACTTGTAACTGATGAAATGTATTTTGGGGGGTCCATCTTAGAGTCAAAGAGAAGAAAAGAAGGGGCCTTTGAAAGATCTGTTAGTTACTTGCTTATCTTACCCATCTGGTGGTGTCTCATTTGTTCTCTGCCGGGCAAGCTTGTTGGTTATACTTAGTTTTGTATTTTTGCTGATGCTTTAGCAAGTACCAGTGAGCAGCAGCTTTTGGAGCCTCACTTGAGGCTTTCTGGTGCTCAGAGGCACTATGAGACAGGGTTCATTTTCAGGGTTGAATTTCAACAGGATAATGCAATGTATCACTAGCACAGCGTGGCCTTACAGACTCGACAGGAAAATATTGTTAGGCAAGCAGTTTGCTTAAAATAGGATTTACAAGACTAACAAATTTATAAAATGAAAGGTTTTCTCTTTTAAAGGGGATGTGCTCAAATATTATTAACTGGCCAGAATATCCTGGTTTGCTATAAAAGGTTAGCATAGCACATACAGCTTTATTCACAAAGCAAATGCAAGGTTTAATTCATGTTTTTTTAATGCATAGGTAATGGAAAAGGAGGTGAATCTATTTATGGTGGCTATTTTAAAGGTAAGGGCAAATAAATCTTTACAGATTCTTGTTTCAGTTCTGAGATAAACAAGTCTTGATTCCCGAGATACTTAATGGAAAGAGGTCTACTTATAGATCACCTTTTGCATGAAACTAATGTTGCATGAAAATTATTTTTATATGCATGACTTTCAGATAATTTATTTTGTAATATTTAACTTAAACTGACAATTAATTAAGGCTAACATTATTGGTTAAACATGACTTTCAGCATGGAGGTTAGGCAACTTTATTCATGAATAAACTCCTATCTTCCTGCCTAAAACTGTCAACATATTCTTTTGTTTATAGAGAATGTGGTCTTTTGCAAAATGAAAAGGTAAGAGACAAAAGCTCAGTAACACAAATTGAAACTCTGTTCCCTTGTACCCTCCCTAGTAAATATATAGACTGATAACGTCCGTTTGTAGATGGATTTCTGTGTTGCTTGGAGAAATAAAGAGTTCTGTCTAACCTTTCTGAGGGGTAATGACTTATTCTGAGAAAACATCCTGGCATAATTTCCAATTCTAAACAGTTATTCCTTCTTTTTTTAATGTCCCTTTTCTCCCCTTCCCCTTTCAAGGTTTGTATGCTTAGTGTTTGTTTCTGAGAACATTTCACTTTGTTTATGATATGCCACACAAGTTACTTTTATTTACCAAATCTTTGCAAGTGATGTACATCATGTAACTTCCTACGATCTTGTATTGGAAAGAAAATAGTGAGATTATAAAGTATTCAATATTCTTCAAGAACGTACAGTTTATTTCTTACAAAAACCAGGAAGTTTCTATAGTATTCCAGTTCTTTTTAATCGCATCATCCATATTTATGACATCCCACTGCTTATGTATGTTTTGCAAGTAGCTCTGGGTGGTGAAGTGCATGCCATTAAACTTACCCAAAATGGAGGTGTAGTTGGATGTAGAATATTTTAGCCTTTAGTCAAATGCAGCTCTAACAGAACCTCTTCTTAAGAAGTTATTAAGGTTTGTTTCTGAAGAACATACTCGAGGTAGTAAATGCATAAAGTATTGTGTTTTGGTATGAAATCTTAGAAATGGAGGCTATGTATGACTGAAATAGTATTTTTATCTATAAGAAATCAGCTTTTTGAAAAAATTTGCTTTAGTATTGTGCTGCATGACCAAACACCCTATTAAATTAATGTAATAGTAAATGAATCTTTAGTTAATTGTGATTTTAAAATTAGAAAGAATATATTCTTTATTTCCTTGTTCAGGCTTGGGGAAGGGGGGTTATTTTTCTTGCATGCTTTGAGACCGCAGGTTTTGAGTTGATAGATGGATATCATTTAACATTCTGCATCAGGGAAGTGACTGTTTTACTAGATCTTTTACCCAAGGTGCATGTCGTATAAATAACAGTATCACGTATGCTAAGTCTTGATTTAGGATGGCAGTAAAAGTCTGACAACTTGTTTTGCTTCAGAAAATGCTGGACTTAACCTCAAGTATATGAGGATCTAATGTTTACTGAAGAAACTAGTAATGGCATTAAATTTTCTTCATTATAAATGCTGTGAACTAATTTCTTTAAGAAGGAATCATGTATATTTTCTGTCTTATGGCTGTGTTTCTACTGTAACTTTTGAGATCTGATTAGCTTTAATTCTTTCCCCCCGATATGTTCAAGTTGCTCTAGAAGCAGAGGGATTTCTCCTTGTTGCATCCATGTGTTACTAAGAAAATCAGACTTGTATCTTTGTCAGGGAAAATCTGACAAACATATTTTTTCTTCAAACAGATGAAAACTTTATTCTCAAACATGACAGAGCGTTCCTTTTGTCAATGGCAAACCGAGGGAAACATACCAATGGTTCCCAATTTTTCATGTGAGTAGATGCAATGTGACAGTTGAGCTTTTCTTCAACAGAGAAGCGCTGTTCATGAGAAAGATGGTATTGCTAAACTGACTGTGACAATATTACCCCCCTTATCCCAAATAGGGTCCAGCAGCTACCTGTACTGGAAGCTCTGATAGGAAACATCACTTATCACTCACTGTTCCTTTGTGGCATTTGTTTGCATTAGAAATTAATACTTTGTGCATATTGCTAATTTATTGCTTTTTGTTTTGTTTTTTACTCTACACTACAACATGTTCTTAGTGTCCAGAAAATAGATGCTTTGGCCTTTATTTTTTTTATTTTATTTTATTTTTTTGACCAACCACATTTGAGCAGGTTATGTGTGAGCTACGGTACTGGGTTTTGTGTTCTGAAGGCATTAAACCTATGGTAGGGCTTGTGTAAGGTGTTGCATGTGCTTTTTAAATATAATGGGTTGTGACTGGAGCTTTTTGGGGGGTGAATGGGATGTGTGTTTATTTTATTATTATTATTTCCTTTTGGAGCACTTTTTTCCTGAAGTGTTTTTTTCTGTGTTACAACATAGTGCTATTCAGATGGGTATATAGATTCTTTGGGTACTAACACTGGGTAAAATAATGTACTGAAAAGTAGAATTTCCTATATTATCTTTAAAAAATCTATTCTGCAGAATAGATTTTTTAGCTGTTCTATGTTAAGCTGTAGAAAACACAGGACTGTCCATCATGAGTAAATATTAAGCAGTAAAACAATTCAGATTGTTGGATAAAGCATTTGTATTTTAGGTTCATTCTTAGTATTTTAAATATGCTTATGTTTATGTGAATATTTATCTAGCTTAATTCCCTTTTAAGAAGGGATGTGGGGTTTTTTCTTTTTTTTCTGTTAATGCTTCACAATTTATATTTGAAAAGACATTTATAACTTTGGGCTTTTATTAAGAAGAAATTTCATTGTGATATAACAGGGGGATTTTCAAAATTAAACTTTAGTGTAGTTGCTTAACTATTTAATACAAAATTTCTTTGCCATCTTTCTTGGGGGATAAGAATGAATGGCGCTTCACTGTCCTCAGGAAAGGAGTGAATTGCCCTGATACACGTTACCATTTTCTTTGCCTGATAAAAGCTCTTCAGCCTATTAGAAAGTTCAGATAAGAGACATTTTTGGATCTCTCCCCAAAGAATGTCCTAAAAATGGAAAATGAGCAGAGACTTGAGAGAAAAGCTTTTGCAATTACTGCTGTTCTGACTTTCCGTAGAGATAAAATTCTGAGATGAACTTCAAGAGCTTGTTTGTTCTTACTTTCAAACCAGGTTTGAAATGGCCTCTTTCCTGAGAGTAAACCTGAAAATAAAGCCACGCACCAATGTAGCTTCAAAACAGTGGTTTAAAAAGCTCTCTGCGAGGCACTGGTTCACTATTTAGTAGTGGTGACCTAACTTTAGATTCTCTTGTCACAATTTTCCATTTTTAACCTTATCTGAACAATATACGTGAAAACTTAATGATGTTACCTCAATCCAGAAGCTGTTATTTGAGGGCTCTAAAGTTTCTTTCCTTCTGTCTTGCATTTAATTCAAATGTCTTTCTCTTTCCCCTTACACTCGGTAGCCTCAGCTTGTTTAATTAGATTTAAGACGTCAGTGCCCTATCTCTCTCCGTGCTCTGAGACAACCTAAGGTTGTGCTAAATGTTAAATTGCATTTTACACACGACAACAAAATGAACTGTGCTTAAAAGAAGTGTGTAGTAAGGAAGCCTATTCCCTGACTGGTTATATATAATTATATGTGTGTGTGCATATGTATGTGTGTATATATATGTATACATATGCACACAGAGTCTGTTGCAAAGGCAGTTTCCCATTTAATAACTCTATTTGTAAAGACACAAGGATGGATAATACATGAAACAGAGCGCAAGAGTTTGTTACCTTGTGTGAAGGGTGGTTTTTCCTTTGTTTCCTTGTTTTCCTTCCAGGAGTAGGATTCAGGTTTTTCTTCATAAGCTGGGCAGAATGATGTTTAAGATTCAAAGCAGGAACCATCTGCTAAATTTTGATCTAGACAGACTGTTTTTGATTTTTAAAATATGATATATTGCAGCAGTTAACTCTTGCTTGCTGACATTTGTCTGATTGCTTTAGGGAATACACTGCGCATCTATGGAGCTCTTTCTATTAAATATATATTTACTTTAGTCATGTACTCTAGGCTGAAATTAAATTGTGTTTCTTACACTCACAAAGAACGCTCAGATATTCAGTAGTTTATCGGTAGGAAAAATACTCTTCAAACACCTAAATTGAAAATTAGATGAAAGTTTCAGTAGGTATTATCAATCTTTAAATTAGTTCATACCATTGACACTCTGATTTTATTAATTTTACAGAAAGAAAAGTAGTTCATTTGAATTCCAGTTGAAATCTTAAATTTCAGACTGATGTTTGCATTTTTTTGTATAGCCCATACAGTGTTATCTTTAGGGATAACACTTCTGTATTTCTCCCTTCTACATGTGCTTAATCTGTAGAAAATGAAAATTTATATAGTATTTGTTCATTTGGGGCTCAAATAATGTTAAGAATCCAGAATATATTTGCTTCCTCTGTCAAAAATAGGTTTCCTGCTTAGCGTACTTGGGATAACTGGGCTTAAAGAAACTTAACAGGCAACATATTTCACTTTGCCAGACCACATTGGGCACTGTACAGGCCAGTCTTGTGCAGTGTCCAGCAGAATCAAACTTGAGCCCCAGGGGTCAGTTTTCTTTGCAAAAGAAGCTCCAGCCCACTCTCCATGTAAACAAGCATCTGCCAGTTCTAAAATACCTGCAGTTTTCTTAGATTCCTCAAGAATTTCTCAGGCATGGACATTTTTGTCAAAGCATTTATACACAGCACTAGAGAAGTGGGTGGAAAAGGTAATTTCAGCAGTGTTAGGAAGTGTCCCTTCCACTTCATGTACCCACAGGGATTTACAGTAGTGTTTTATTGCAAGTTTGTTGTTATAAGTCTGTGTTCTAGGACCAGTTTACAAATTAGCTGATTATATTAGATAGCACCACTATTAAGTTACTGCTTTCTTGAATAAGTTTTTTTCAGAACCTTCAGCTATCTAGCAAGTTTCTGAAATATCTTCAGAGTTTTATAATTGTTTCATCCCCTTGTTGATATGGATGCTGAATTCCTGGGATAGAGTAGAGGTTGACAAGACGAACACTGGGATAATCTTCCTTTTTCTGTCTATTTCAAGGCCTGCCTTGACAGTAAAAGGCTTTAGTAGTATTGTGGGCTGGAGGGATGCATCCATATCACTGTGCAAATACAACTGATATCCCTCTGTGCATGATTTATAGCCAGAGAAGTTATCAGTGCAGCCTGGGATGCTCTAGTCCAGGGGCTGTGTTACTGTGCTGAGTGATGCTCTTGTAAGAATGCTACAAACTGTATATAAAATATTATAAAATACGTGAGCCTGCTGCTCCTACAAACGCCTGCATGTGTGTTAACTCTGCTTCCCTTAAGCCTTGTCAAAATCTGTCAAGCTGCTCTTCCTAGCAAGGCAGAAATGTGAATGTGCAGCACAAAATATAAATAAAATGGGACAGGAGGTGGAAAGGAGGAGTAACCAACCTCTCTGCTGTCATTTAGAAGCTTCCTATATAAACTTACTCTTTACCTTGTTATTTAACTGTTTAGTTTACTGAGAATCCAGCCTTGTTGCAACTTGGAAGAGTCTTAGAGTTTTGCTCCCAAGCAGTGCAAACATGTGGAGTTCCTGCTCCGGAGTTCAAACCTATTTTACTTAACTTGAGGCTATTTAGCAGGTGTCGTAAGCTTTTCTTTCCTTTTATTTTTTCCTCCTATTGAGGATATTGTCAATTGAATATGTCTCTCAAGCACTGCTTTCTTGCTGAAGTGTAGACAGTCTTTTTGATCTTAAAGATAGTGTTTTCAAATGTATGGTGTCATGCCTACTTGATCAATTTAAATGAACTAGCCTTTTTGAACTGCTAAAGGATATATCAACTGTGAGGATTTTGCTTTTGTTTTACAAGTGACTTTCTGAATGTTATCAGTATATTAGAAATGATTCTCTTTTTCAATATCCTAAAACCTGTATTTTTTTCCAATCAAGAGTTAGTGATGGGATTTTTTTCCACTCTATTTAGAGTATCTTTGAGTTGATTCTTGTGCAGGTTGCAGTTATAGAAAAGTAAGCTAAAAATTTCAAACGGAAGGGGCTGATGTTTGATCTGTGACCAGAAGCCATGAGAAGTGGGGTGTGTTAACCAGGCGCTCCTGTTGGCTTGGGGATGTTCATGAAAAGCACAATCTGCACGGAATTATTTGCAGGATGCCTGGATGGGCCACAAGTAACAAACGGATCATTTCCCCGCTCAGATGGCAGAGGGATATTCAACATAATAAATACAGTTAAGCTTTCACTGATGATGTGTTTTTGAAACAGCACTTCTGTTCAGGATGAAACTAGAACAAAACCAAAGGATTTTGGTGCGTGTGCATTCCCTTTGGTAGCGAACGCACCTATTTTTCTTATTTTTAGAAAAAAAATATAATAAAAGCAAGATTGTTAGACAATTGTGGAACTTAAATGCTGAATTTACTGACTTCTAACTCATTTCTAAATCTAAATGTTTCAGTTGGACACCCTCCTGTAAAGTATATACTTAGGACAGGTTCAGGAGAGCAGTGAGCAGCCACGTAACTGCAAGCACGTGAATAATCCCATCGAAATCTGTTATTCATTTGCTTCAAGCTGTGCGTGTGTTCTAGCACTTCTGCTGATTTTTAGCCTTTCAGAGGGGAATGGGAGGATTCTCTTTTCTAATGGTTTATCTTTGTAGCAGGGTGTGCAAGCAGGTTATGTCTTCCTTTTTTGTTGCTTTTAAGGAAAACTTACTGTAGTTTACAAAGTGCCTTGTATTTAAAAGAAAATTTAGAGCCCTCTTTTAGGCATCTTTGTTCTGCATACAACTTGATTAATATTAATTTAAAATTTGTATTTAATAAAACATAGACTCAGTTTTGTCTGAAAATGTATTACAATTTATTTCTGCCATTTTTGTGTAAAATTTACAGAAACAGTGTTACATCGTGCGCTCCAAAGGTAATGTCTCATTCCTCTAAGGCTGTGTCCTTTCCTTTTCTTCTCTTTCTGTTTTTATCTTTCTTGTCTTTCTGATCATATTGTTATATGCATTGAATCTTTTTCTAGGACTGAGGTTCTTGGGGGTGGGGAATAACTTGCTTTTTACCAAAAAAGATGCTCTCCTCATCAGCAGCATCGAACTATTTATCTTGAGAGAATAAAGATAACTTTCTTTTGGTAACTCTAACTCATACATTAGTTTATAAAGCAGACTTTGAATATTTTAAAGTCTAAAAGTTATTGTATTAAGGCAGTTATCTATAGATATTATTTCTTGGGAGAAACTCATCATAACTGTTTCTTTTAAATGCAAAAGTCCTAAGTAGGTTTTCTCCAGAGAAAGTTCTGAAATCAACGTAAGAGCTTAAGAGTTGAGAGGTGGAGCACAACACAACATTGTGAAGTGGTGAAATATTTGCAGAATAATTCTGATTTTTTAACCCTACCCGTGAGATGAGGAAACTTCCAGAAGCTCAATGAGGAGTTAGGTTCCTGCTTCCCACAGGGAGTCACCTAACTCCTTTTCCTGCACTGGGAGAAGGTTTTCCTCTTGGGTAGCGCTTGTCCTTGTGCTTGCGTTTCGTGAGCAAGTCGGTGAGGAAAATTCCATCCGTTTTTGCCTATCAAATTGTCAGCGAAATGGAAGAAGTCTCTAAGTGTCTTCTGATGCTCCTGCCTGTCCCCCTCCGTGCTCGTTGAGGCCTGGTCTAACGCAAGCGCCTGCCCAGGTGCCGTGCGGACGTGGCCTGCGCTACCACAGCTCCTACCTGTGTGTTCAACCTGTTGCTTTTTCCAGCTGATTTTAAACGCTAAGATTTGTTTACTGTTGGCTTCACTGAAGTAACCCACTTCTGTTTTCACTACTTGAAATCAGCTTTATAATTAAGCCTGCTTCAAATGTTTCCTTGGCAGCAGGTTGCTAATGCAATTAGCTTTTGGTTGTAGAAATTCAAAAGCAGTTATATATATATATATATTTGTAGCAGTATGCTGTATTGGTCAGAGAAAAAACAAGTATACAGAGTACTATTGAGAGAGAAATAAAATGTCGTCTTGGTACATTATCTTGCCCTGTGCTAAGCTAGAGAGAATCTCTGTAATATTCAGAAGTGGAAGCTCTGGTGTTTGGAGACTAATAAAACAGGGGTGTAAACGCTCCTGATTTGTGGTTCCATCTTTTTGACATGCATTCCAGCACTGAAGTGTTTCGTGATCTAATAGCTCAGAACTAGAGTTGAGGTATGTGCTTAAAAGTAGCTTTTCAGTGCTATAATAAAGTACTACAGTTTCCCAAGTCTGTATTGTCACAAACTCAAGTGAACCATCTAGATTCTGTTACCTTTGTAAGGGAGGAAGAAGGTTAGAAAGACGAATCAGTAGCCAGGGAGAAGAGTAAAAACTGTTTTCAAGTTATTAAGCAGCTCCCAAGTGTCAATCATCACCTTGATTTCCTTCTCCCTGTCCCCATATGCAGGATTAGTGCAAATTCTGCTGTCCCTAAGATTTGTCCATAGAGCAGGGTTCCCGTCGCAACATTGATGTAGGGGAGAGTTCTGAGAACACATTCCTTCTGTAATCTTCTTCCTTGGAAAAGGATTTAGAAAGGTACCAGGCAATAGCCTTATTTTCATAAACTTGAATCTTAAATTTAGTTATAGATGCTCAGTATTTGGATCTAAAGTCAGAAATTTGGCATCGCTTCATAAAACCTCTGCTAGGTTAATGTAATGCACTGGGATTTCCCTTTCAGGCTAGAAGCTGCTAAATGTGGGAAGACAAAAAGAAAGTAGGAGCAGTCTGTATTCATCACAGAACTGTAGAGTATCTTACCCTGTCTGCTCACATGCTGCTGCTGCTTTAGGGAATCCCGTGGGATTTTGAGCCGAAGTGCTGTAGTCCTGGTGGTTAAATACAGCTCGATTGCTTTGTACCCCGAACCACGGAGGCAGTGAAGTAGATGGAGAGTAAGAAAGCAGGAAAACAAACCAAGGCTCTCGTGTATTGTAACTGTTGCCTGTTCTTTTTTGTCGATTTTAGTAGAACTGCTTTTTAGTGGCTCTGTAATTTCAGAAATGTTCAAATTCCAATAGTTAGCCAATGCCTGTTGTAAATTCTTATCTTCCATGAATAAGGAAATGTTAGTGAGATTTGAATGTTTAAAGACATTAATTTGGAGATTATTGCATGCATTTAAAGGTATTTGGTAGAACTTTCAAGTGTGCACAGCTAGCTAAAGTTAAGTATCATGTAAAAGCTTAAAAATATGTAATTTTTAAGTCTTTTAATGCCATATATGTAACTGGATTTTTTTCACTCTCTTTTCTTACCTTTGCCTTTTTTTTTTTTTATTTTTCTGTGCCATTTTCCTATCTTACTTCATCTGAATCCCTGATTTTATTTATTTATTTATTTTTATCATCTTGTCATCTTGCTGTTTGTCAAACAGAACAACGAAACCTGCTCCTCATCTCGATGGGTAAGAGTTTTTATAATGCTGATAAAATTTGATAGTTCCTGAGTCTTCATGTGTCATACTGAACGTAGTCAGGAATGGGGAACAAAATACTTATTTCCCTGGAAGTTTATAGAGTAGAACCAGATAGAAAACAAAAGCTTGTTTTGTTCTTTGGTCAATATTTCAAATCATAGTTTATTTTCTGAAGTTGTCAAAAGCTTTATAGGTCCTAAATCTTAACATTCCTTTTTTTGTTGTTGTTGTTTTTTGTTTAGTTTTTTGTTTAGTTTTTGCTGCTCTCAGCCTGTAAATCAAAAGTAGAGGATGAGTTAGATGAGCTGTTTAGCCTGACTCTCTGGAGAAGTAGAATGGACATCAGCAAATATTTCTCTAAAATTGAACCGGAGAGGACTCATGTTTCCTATTGCATGAAATCCTAACATAGCTATAAATGTAAAACTGATAAAAACCGTATTTTAAAAGTATAATTCATTTTAAGAGCCAGATGATACCAGTGAAGCTGCATGTTTCTAGTTCATAGCGAGTTTTTTAGCCTGAGGAACTTGTTGGAGAAAAATTGCCAACCTTTGTATTTTCCAAATATTTTTTTTCCCGCAGTGTACATGTTGTCTTTGGACTGGTGATTTCTGGTTTTGAAGTAATAGAACAAATAGAAAATCTGAAAACTGATACTGCAAGTAGGCCCTATGCAGATGTGCGGGTTATTGACTGTGGGGTGCTTGTAACAAAATCAGCGAAGGATGGTAAGTTAACTCTCTCCTTCCCGTCCTCCTCAATCTATGCTGTGTTAGTGTGGCATACAGGAGGAGTAGAGCAGAAAATGGCACACTTCAGCTTTAGAGACCGCACAAAAGTCAAATTCAAGAAAGGTTTATGATAAGTTCATCTAGTATTTTTGGTTTACTAGAGCTAATATTTCTTTTTTTCATGGAAGAATTCGTAGGGAATGAATGTTCTTAGATATGTTTGAATAGTCGCTGTGAGATGGTTGATTGTTACAAATTTGAGTTTTTGACTCCAAATCTGACTTTCCCCCAAGTTAATGGGGTTATTTATTTCCTACAGAAAGAGTCAATGAATAAATAATACAGAAGTACACGGATGCAAAAAGGAGAAGACTACAAAGAGTTTTAGCAATAAGAAGCATGCAACTGAGGCTGAGATTAATTTTTTTTCGTAAACTTCCTTCTGGAACTGACATTGCTATCTTAAAAGAAAAAAATGTTACTATGAATGATATTTGCTCATCTGTGCATTGTAGGAAAACCCTCATAATGTGATTTTGCTGCTAAATAAGAGCAGGGGAGGAAAAACCTTTTTCAGAATCATACTACCCTTTCTTTGTATTATTGTGACATATGTTGATGTTGAATTTATTATTATAAACCTATGGTGTGTGTCAAAAATATTTTGGGTGTGCAATTGTACACCTTCTTACGTGTCAGAGGTTGTGGATGGAAATTTATATAGTTCACAACTAAAGTCTTGTTTTCCACAACAATCTTCTGTTGTGTATATATAGACAATATACATACAATATACCACTGTAAAACTTAAATGTTGTTTGTTTCTAAGTTTTGGAGAAGAAGAGAAGAGTATATTCTGACTCGGAAGCTTCAGACTCCTCCTCCTCCAGTGAATCAAGTTCCTCAGAAACGTCATCTGAAAGTGAAGCTGAAAATGAAAGAAGTAGAAGGAGAAAGCGTAAGAGAAGAGCTAAAGCTAAGCAGTCCAGGAAGCGAAGAAAGGAGGAGAGGAGGAGAGAGGATGCAAGGTGCAAGCGAGCCCCCAACCAGAGACGGTGACTAGTGTCTTGAACTTGAGAATTTCAGGGAAACTTAGAAATATTACCTTGGTTTCATGAAATAGCGATGCAGTTAGTATAAAGGTGGTATTCTGTAAGTATTGGCTTTGGCTGATTGGAGGAAAAAAAAAGAAAGCTGAGATTGCTGCATAGATTTTTATATGAAACAGTTAAGAATTTGGTAAATATAAGGTCATAGTGACCTTGAAATAAATGCATGTAGCCATGTTGGAATGTTAGGGATTAAGTGCTTCTGTGTAAGCAAAAAGACATGCAAGCAAGAGATCTTTGCTTTTAAAATTGATTGTTTTTGTAAATATTACAGTTGGTGAAACCAAGGCACAATTCGTAGATGTGAAGTGAGAGCAGAACCTTTTTTCTGTAGTATTGCATCATCATCCTTTTAGCTGTTAGCATGAAATAAATGAGTGAATTACGAAACACAATTCAGTTTTGTGGTTATCTTAAAGCATCATTTAGACTTATTTTAGGAATTCATTTTGAAAAACGGTGGGTTTTCTAGTGAATGATTTTTTGATTTATAAATTATTTTTCTACAGCAGCCTCTCTGACAAGAGTGATGTAAATGAAAAAGCAGTCGATGCCACCACGAAGAGGGACAAGCCGGTGGTGCGTCCTGAGGAAATTCCGCCAGTGCCTGAAAACAGGTTCTTGCTTAGAAGAGATGTGCCTGTTGTCCATGCAGAACCCGAACCGTAAGGAACATCTGAGCTTTTTTATTATGTTAGCTTTCTTAGAGGAAATAAGTCAAAATTTGCACGCTAACACTGTATTGCTAGCACTGATAACCAACTGATGATGTGGTTAATTTCTAAATGAGGTAATTTACCTGCCTTTTTTACAATTTTCTTTGGGATTTTCTTTTCTAACCGAGATCAGCCCTTTAAGTGAAATCTGACCTAATGAGTTAGCTTCATTGGTCTTTTAAGGATCACACATGTAACATCCTTAAGTACAGATGATGCAGAAAGATTGTTTGGTAACTCTGGAAGAAATTCCATTATTAAAAAAAACATTGCAAATAGACTGCAAGGCAAACTTAAAAAACTGGAGAGGTGATTTTTGCATCTTCCTATTCCAAAGGAGAAATTTGGTTGAAAATTAATTAGTCAACAAGAATATCAAAATATTTTTTTTTTTAAAGCTAGGAGTGGGTTTTTGTTGTGCATTTATTTATCTTGAGACAAAGGAAGTCATGAACTTACAAGTTATTTTTGATTTGAACTTCGCACATCTACTGAATTTGTTAGTTCTTTTCTATTAAACTTCCTCTGTTTTGGAGTCAGATATATAAATATTAAATATCTATATATAAATTTTATAAATTTTATATGTATATATCTGTCTATGTCAGTGATATACTCTCCTGTAAGTCTTTTCTTAAAATGAAATTTTAGTTGTGTTTCTACAGTCTCTGTATCTGCTTCTTTTAAGCACATTAAACAAACCACGTGAAAAAGAATGCTGAATTCCCTCTCTTTGCTTAGGAAAGAATCAGCCCTTCCAAACCTGTGGGCTACGTGGGGCTCCTTCTGGAGTTGTTCTGTAACTGCTGAGATTCTTAAACTGTTCTCTTGGGGTCATCTTCATGATTTGTATAGACTAGTCCCAAATCAGCATCTATGAAAAATTCATGCACTGCTTCAGCAGAGCACTTTGCAGCAGAGTGTGTTAGCAGTTATTTGTCATGTAGGGAAGGCAGGTAGTCAACACAGTTTGAAGACTAATACGTATAATTTTGACCTTCACTGCAGAACAATTTGGTGCTTGCTTAAATCACTGAATTCTCGTTCTTCTGTGTCAAAATATAAAATGAATACTTCATATGCTTATCTTAAACTTAGCTGATTACTTTAAAACATTTTATGTGGCTTTTTGCACTTAAGCTTTTATATTTTATTTTTGTATTTAGGAAGCTTCTTGATGCTGCACCAGTTCTGAGTGACCAGAAACCTTCAGTCTCTAAATCAGGACGAAAAATTAAAGGAAGAGGCACAATAGTATGTGTATATTATTTCCTCTATCCCGATCCCTTCTCTGACCTCAAAATCAATTTTCTTGAAGGCTTTGTTAACGCTTTAATTATTGTTAACGTGTTGCAAATTCTAACTTAGAAGGTTGAAAAGAAGCATGGGCTGAAAAACTGGCTTAAAGTTAAAGAAGTCTCAAAGCGGAATGGACCTTTAGAGATCCTCTAGTCCCTGCTCTAAGCTGCTGCATCTGGAGCAGCTGCTTGGCTGTGTCCAGGCAGGTTCTGAATATCTCCAAGTTTGGAGACTTCACAACCTCTCTGAGCAACCTGCTCCAGAGCCTAGTCACCTTCACAGTAAGGAAATTTGGGGTCAAACTTCTATCCGTGGTGGCCAGTGACAGGACAAGGGGTAATGGATACAAGTTGAAACACAGGCAGTTCCACCTCCATGTGAGGAAGAACTTCTTTCCTGTGAGGGTGTCAGAGCCCTGGGACAGGCTGCCCAGAGAGGCTGTGGAGTCTCCTTCTCTGGAGATCTTCCAACCCGCCTGGATGCCACCCTGTGCTCTGGGTGTCCCTGCGGGAGCAGGGGCTTGGGCTAGATGATCTCTGGAGGTCCCTTCCAACCAGATGTCTGGGCTGAAGAGCCCCACAGCTCTCAGCACCTTCTCATATGAAACAAGCTTCAATCCCTTAACCATTTTAGCAGCCCTTTGCTGCACTCACTGCAGCAGGTCCATGTGTCTCCTGTCCGGGGAGCCCAGCACTGGGCACAGCACTCCAGGTGTGGCCTCACCAGGGCTGCATAGAGGGGATCACTCCCATTGACCTGTTGGCAACAGTAAGAATGAAAATCCGTGATGCCAGAAATGATTTAGAGGTAGCAGTTAGTTCCAGCAATGCATTTTGTGCCATCTCCAATGGGCTCTTCAGCAACAGTTTCTATCCAAGGCCAACTGGTTCGATATTTAAAATACTCCTCCGCAGTTTTGAATTCTCTCAGGCAAAAAATTATTTAGTACAATCTGGAGAAAAAAAAAAAAAAAAAAAGGTAGTACAGAAGTCCTTGAATAACCTGTTATATGTGGTTCATCTGTGAAATCTGTAACTTGAGGGTGTTTTTTTTTTTTTTTTTTGTAATCATTGCTTTACTCCAAGGATAGGGAAGTTGCAAGTCTTTGTGTCAGGTTTTACTTCTAATGTATTATATAAGCAGATAATCTTAAGTACTTGTGCCTGTAATGAACTGAATTCTATATAAACTAATGCATGAGTCTTTGTTTTTACTTTAGAGGGCACTGTTTTTTTACTTCTAATGTATTATATAAGCAGATAAGTACTTGTGCCTGTAATGAACTGAGTTCTATATAAACTAATGCATGATTCTTTGTTTTTACTTTAGAGGGTACTGTTTTTTTCCCCCACATATTACTTGCTTCATAAATGGCTTAAAATAATTGAGTAAAACCCAAATGTTTCTTGCTTGTTAATTGAGTCAAGGAGCATTTAATTTCCTCATACAAGTTACCTAAGTGCCTTTCCAACTGGGTAATGGAAAATAATGAGTTAGCAATATTAAAGTTTGTCCTGCTGCTGCTGCACACATAGCACTTATTGTCTACTGATTCCTGTGCCTCAATATCAATTTTTGGCATGCAGCTTCATTTGCATTTTTGTAAGACCATTCTTGCTTGGAGAAGGTCTTGAACTGGGTGCACATCCCTGAAGGGGTGAACAGCAGTTGCTTTTGAAACTGAGTTTGACTTAATATGTACGAGCAGCTAAATGCCTGTTAACCATGAAGGAAAATTGGCTGATTATCCGCAGCAATTGTGCTACCCGAGAACATCTTATGTGAAGGGAATCCATGGTCATCTCCTCAGTCATGATCAATTCTTCCTTCCCAATTAGGAAAAGATGGAGAAACTTTCCCTTCTCTACTGTGGGCACTGAGAAAGGACCTCACAGTACAAAGGATTACAGGGCTAACGGTATTCTTATTTCAAACGTGTGGGATATGCACATCAAAAGTGGATATTTGGGGCAGGAAATTGAAAATATACATGTTCTTTAAGGAATTTATACGGAAATAACTGGATGAAGTTGTCTGGGCAGTGCTATGAAGGGGTATGTGAAATCTGTAGAAGAGCCACCAGATATTTTTGTATGATCCCATCTCCTTTGAAAAGAAATGTGTAATCATCTCGCTGTGTTTTCCTAGCGATATCACACCCCACCTCGGTCACGGTCCTGCTCCGAATCCGATGATGATGAGAGCAGCGAGACACCTCCCCACTGGAAAGAGGAAATGCAGAGATTGCGAACGTACAGACCACCTAGTGGAGAGAAGTGGAGTAAAGGCGATAAGTAAGATCCAGAACACAAATGTGAAACGTCTGGTTTTTGTACACAGGCTTTAATAACTTATGCAGATGTTCTTTGTCATTTTTGTTGCTCACAAAAAACGTATGAAAATCTTTATAGCATATTCCATTTAAGTTCACAGCATTTGGAATTGAAAGCTTTCTTAAAGCCGTTCTGCTTTGCTGATGTAACAGCAGCTGAACGCGGGCTGAGAAGTGTCAGGAGGTCAAAATGGTTGGTTTCTGATAGTACCATCTTAGGCACTTGTTTAAGAAGAAACCCTTCCCATTTCCTGTCACTTTATTGAGCTAGTGATATTGGATTTTTAGCTTCAAACTTGGTTATCTGGTTTCTTTGGGTGCCAAATAAAATGCTGAATCTACTATTTCTACATGAAATTTTAGATTTTTGTTCTTTCTACAGTTATCAACTCTGCAGTGGAAGCAGCCTCCCTAGAACTTATGATGACTTTATGACAAATATGAGCATGTGTCAGAGTACAATGGTTAAACCTGAAGGGCAAACCTGAAGGATATTATATACAATAATTATTGAATAATTGCAAATGTTTGTCATAAACCACTTCAGTAAACTGAAGGAACTCAGTATGTAATGTATTGCAACACACCAGCTAAAAAGAATGCCAAATAAGACACCGTTATTTAAATTGTATTTAAATGTGGTTTATGAATCCCATAATTGTAGAGGTATAATTTTGTGGACAAAGTCAAAGTCTCTTTACACTGGTAATACAGTATGTAAAATTTGCTGATGTTACATAACTCCTCTCTTGCAGACAAGGTCTGGTCCTCTAGATTGTGATGTAATTCCACATCTTAAAATGAGTGCAACAAGCTCAGTTGAAACACAGTTTTCTGCCATCAAATTACAGGGCTTTTAGAGTAGTTTTTGAACTTCAATAGTATTCTTGGAGGAGGAAAAAATTAATTGTCCTGATCTTATTTTTGAATTTCCAGTTAGTGGGATTTTGTTTGTTTCTTTGTTTTTAAGGTTGAGTGACCCATGTACAAGCAGATGGGATGAGGGGAGTGCGTCCCGGAGATCGAGGTCTTGGTCGCATAATGGCTATTCTGATCTAAATACTGTGAGGTATTCTAGTCATCACAGAAAACACAGGAAAGAGAAAAAGAAAATGAAGCATAAAAAGAAATCTAAAAAGCAAAAGCATTTCAAGAAGCACAAGCAAACTAAAAAAAAGAAGACGTCACCATCAGATGTGGAATCCTCTCGTTCCTTCCCCAGGAGGACAAAATCATCTGGTGCTCGTGAGAGGAAGTCTCGTTCTTCTTCATTGTCTTCTAGACGCTCATCTAGAAGAGACTGGTCTAAATCTGACAAGGAAGATCAGAGCTCATCGACCTTGTCAAGCAGAGACAGTCAATTGTACTACAGATCCAGGTCAAGGTCCAGATCTAGATCTAAATCAAGATCTTATTCCCGAGGAAGCTCTAGATCAAGATCAGCCTCTAAGTCATCACGTTCTCGAAGCAGATCAAGATCAAGTTCTACATCTAGGCATCAGCAGACAGTTCCCAATTCGCCACAAAATATTTCAGCACGATTAAATGAGAATAAGTTGAACAAGACTGCTGACCCCGTGCGAGCAGTTATACTACCAAGTGATAAAGTGGTTGTACCACAAGTTGTCCCAGAAAACCTCCCTGTCATACCCTTGAGTGACAGCCCGCCACCTTCAAGGTGGAAACCTGGGCAGAAACCGTGGAAACCATCTTATGAACGAATTCAGGAAATGAAAGCTAAAACAACCCATCTAATTACCACACAAACTAATTATAACTTAGTAACAACTAAGGAGACAAACGTTCCTTCCTCCTGCCGTAAGCAAGAAAGGAGTTCAGACAGCAATCGAAGTGCTCCTTCCAAATACCATAGCGACAGGAGCTCGGATAGTTGGCAGAGATCAAGAAGCAGGTCCTCTGGAAGCAGGTCATACTCAAGATCTTACACGAGATCAAGGAGTCCATCTAGCTCAAGAACAAAATCCCCGTCTTCTGGCAGATCCCCATCCCTGAGCGGCGACAGATCGGACTGCAGTGAGTCAACATCCTACTATTCCCTAAGCAGTGACGATAGACACAGAACCAAAAGAAAATCTGCATCCAGGGAGCAAAACACTCGGCCCCTTAAAATAAGGAAAGAAACTAGCTCTGAACGTACTCTGCCTTATAAAGGTGCTAAACACTGTGATGAATCTTCTCAAGGTTTAAGAGAGAGTGACAGTTTATCATCCTCAGACTTCTCTACTAATAGTGGGCCTTCCATGAAAACAAAAGTAATCTGGGAAAAAGAAGGCCGTCCTCAATTAGGAGATGCTCAGAAACAGAATAAAAATAATTTAAATTCTGAGAGAGGAGAGGGAAAACTGAAGTGTGAGCAAGCTACTGATCGCTCAAAAAAGAAAACCGTCAAGGAGAAATCTTCTGGGCAATTGAGAGGTGGTGTAAAAAATAAACGAAAACCCTATTCAGGTAGTAAATGGGACTCGGAGTCCAATTCGGAACGAGGAGATATTAGGCATAACAGAGATGATTCCAGACCTTCATCTGGTAAGGAGGAAGGAGAGGCCTCATCGGGATCTGATACAGAACTTAGTGTTATCAAAAGGACAAAAACAAAATCAAATTACTCGGAAAGTCTTCTGGATTCTGACTGCACTTGGAAGACGAGCAAACAGCAGTCGTCCTCTTCTGAATCCGAGAGTTCTCGTTCTAGCTCAATAAATACTAAAGGAAAATCAAAAAAGCACAAACATGGATCAAAAAAACCTCTTAAGAAATCACATTCCAAAAAAGCAAAAGATAAATCGAAAGGGAAAAAAGAGAAGAAGCACAAAGTTCAGAAAAGAAAAGAGATGTTTCATTGGCAGCCCCCGCTGGAGTTTGGTGAAGAAGATGATGATGACATAACTGAAAAGCCAGTTAGCAAGGACGATAAAAAAGAAAAGCAGCTTATCAAAGATGTAAGAGAGAAAAAACAAGACACTCATCAAAATGATGAAGAACTCAAAGATATAATGGGAAATGGTGAAAAGTCTTGTGTGGAAGAAAGCTTCTTGGGTAAAAACACCGCAAGTGATACCTCACCAGAGCACAGTAACCTTAATAAAGTTAGCACTGACCCAAGCTCTTCAACCAGTACATTAAACTCGGGTGTAAATGTGACTGCTCTCAAGAATGAGATTAAACATACTGAAGAAAGTAATCGGAACGGCCTGGAAGATGTTATCCAGACAGATGACAACATGGAAATTTGTACTCCAGATCGTAACTCGCCAGGGAAGATGGTCGTGGAAGTTTTGTCTCCTGTCATCCTTGATACGGAGCGCCAGGATTTAAGTGTTAGTATGAGCAAAGATGGACAGGTTGAGACCCCTGAACCAGATGCTGTCAAACTAGGAAACAATATCTTAGATTTGATTAATATCAAAGAAGGAAAAGAAGTGGGAAAACAAGACTGTAGTTCTGTCCCAGCGTCTAGTGCTAAAGACATTAGTACAAAAAGTGAAATAACTGAAGATACCCAAAGTAATGTGGTGGATAATAAGTGGAAGCCTTTGCAAGGGATTGGCAATTTACAGTCAGCTACTGTTAGTACTGCCACAGAAACTAAGAATGCAGTTCCAGCTCCAGACACAAAGCCAACAGGTTTAAGAATAGAAATAAAAGCCAAGAATAAAGTAAGGCCTGGATCTCTGTTTGATGAAGTTAGAAAAACAGCACGGCTCAATCGAAGGCCAAGGAACCAAGAAAGTTCCAGTGAAGAAGAGTCTCCGAGCAGAGATGACAATAGCCCGTCCCGGAGTCTTAGCAGGTCACGAAGTAAATCCGAATCTAAATCCAGACACAGAACAAGATCCAGATCTTACAGCCGCTCGAGGAGTCGATCACGGAGCTCTACGTACTCATACAGGTCAGACTCTTGTGGATTTACTCTCACAGCCTACCGTGTTAATACGAAGCTTCCCATCTTCTTAAAGCTTATTTTTATTTCCCAAGTCAGGTTTTTCTTTTAACCTGCAGCGTATTGTTCAGCAACTATGGAATAAATATCGAGCTTAAAATACAAACCTTCATGCTACTTGCTGTTTTCCACTGCTGTCTGCTTTAGTTGCACTCCAATATGTGCTTTTTAGAGTTGTTTGTTCAATTGCAGGTCGAGAAGCTACACAAGGAGCCGAAGCAGAGGATGGTATAGTAGAGATCGGTCAAGAAGTCGAAGTAGCTCTTACCACAGTTATGTCAGTCGCAGGTAAGTTCCTCTCACTAGGGGTGGCTGCATAAATACCCTCCAGTTGTAGTAAATCAGGCACAGAAACTCAATGCTGGAGTCTAAGCAACTTGGAGACGTGCTGCACCTACCCGTGCTGCGTCCTGTAAGCTGAGGCATCCGAACTGTGCAAGTGAGAGCAATGAGGTTTGGGGGTTTTCTGTTCCCAAGAGCAATTTTGTTTAATGCTTTGCAGTATGGACAAGGAATTCTGAGGGGGAAAAGTTCCTTTCCCCTATTCAGCACTTGTTTTTCATTTAACTTAAAATGTTTGTGTTTGCTTTTTTTGTTTCAGACGAAGCTATAGCAGAAGTAGATCCAGAAGTAGTTCTTACGGTCATCGCAGTCGATCCAGGTATGGGTTGTGTTTCCCTACTGGCTCTGAAATAAATGTACTTTCTAAACATCTTTCTGCAACAATGCCCCTTTATTTGTGGTAGTTAGAAATACCTGTCATTTTAGCAAGTAAAATCAAAGCAAACTTAACCCAAGTAGGATTCTTTTAGAAGTCGAAAATAAGCAAGTCATCCTGATGATATGAGATAAAAGTGGAAGGGGTTGATCATTATTTATTGTTACATTCAGAATTATTAATAAAAATACTTTGTTTTCATGAGTATTAGCAAACAACCTATTTACCTAACGTGTGTGTTGTAGGGAGAACCAAAACTTTAAATGCTTGGTAAATATTTTCTAGGTAAACTGAGTATATTCTTAGTGTTCTTTTAAAAATGCTAGTGTTTAAAATCCTTTAAATGTAAAATTATCCTGCTTGTTGAATCCTTCAGGAGTCATCTGTATAGCAACAGAGATTTTATGTCTTTAAAGCAATGTTTACAAATTAATGGCCTCTTACTTATGGAATTGTACATCTTCAATGACTGTCTTCTCCCTTTAATAAAGTAGGTCATACACTTACGATAGTTACTACAGCAGAAGTCGAAGTAGAAGCAAGAGGAGTGACAGCTATCGAAGATCCAGAAGTTATGACAGGAGATCCAGGTATATTGTTTCCTATCGTGATTCTATGCAAAAGAATTTAAGTTATACTTAACCTTACAAAGACTGATACTTTTCCCCAAGAACAAAAATATATTTTTACCAAAAAGTGTAAATTAAAAAAAAAAAAGGTAAATGAAGAGTTTGAGTGAGGGTGACTGAATCAGGACATCAGCATCGGAAATGCTGAACTGGGAGTGTGGAAGAAACTAGGAGAAGAAAGATTTGAAGAGACATGAACACATTATCCTCTTTTACTCACTTCATTGTGTAGGTATCCACGTAAGCTCCAAATAAGCACTTTCTGGGAGATATTTTGGAAGAATTTTTATCTGCAAATTCAGTGCTTTGCTGATATCCTGTTTATGCTTTTTTCCATATTTAGGGTAGTTTATCCTACACAATAAGGGGAGCCACCCCAGCTGTCAAGGGCATGTTTCACTGCACATTTTCATGCTGTGCTCTCCTCATGCTCCTTTCACAACTTTGTACCAGCTCAAAGGACTTCACCCCCATCCACTTCCCATCTAGTTCCAACATTAAGCACTTTCATCATGTGTTTGAGGGGAAATGGAGATTAATGGAATGTGTGGGAACAGACCCACAAAATCATTTTTGTAGGATACCGGGAAGCTCAGAGGAACAAGGCTGGAGTATGGTGTGCTCACCCTGCATCCAGAAAACTGTCCTTACAGGCATGAGATGAGGTGATTTCAAATGAAAGCTTGTTATCTGAATATGCCCTGTGACTCGTCTGAAACTTCCTGGACTGGATCTTGATGCTTGGCCAGGTGCTGAGCTCAAGATTCTCTTTGTCTGGAGAAGCAAACTCATTTTCATCTATTTCTAGTCTCCACACGCACTCATGGGCTTCTGTTTGTCTGAAGCCTAATTCAATGGACACTTCTTCACGCTGAGAATTGCAATATATAAAACAAGGAACTGTGCAATCATTTCAGAAGCTCTTGCAATATCAAACTATATCTTTAGAATATCTTTTTCAGTTAGCTTTAGTGTTTACCAAAACTTAATGATATGGCTGAAGCTGTCTGGAGGAAATCAGGAAATCTTGTAGTTACAATCAGAGTCTGTTTCACTTGCACAGGGATTTTGTCATGTAGATATAATTACTTGAGATTTGAGTGTTAAGAAATACCTTAATGGGTATTTCAGTTACATAACATGTCATCCTATAAAAGAGTTTCTCTTCTTGTCTCATATGTCTGTCCCTTGACATTTTTTGATAAAATTTTGAACTTAAAGCACAAAATACGATTTTGAGGCCTTACCATCTTTTCTTTGCAGATCTTATGGGTCCGACAGTGAAAGCGATCGCAGTTACTCGAACAACCGAAGTCCCAGTGAAAGCAGCAGATACAGCTGAGCGTGTTTCTTTGCTGGTGGAAAGTACATTTAAGAACATTGTCAGTGCTGTGCAAAAACTAAACCAAAACGCTGTTTCGGCAGTGCTGCAGGTAACGTGGAAGGGCGGTCACTGGGCGAGCTGAAACTTTAGCAGCAAACACACTGACGGGCCGTAAACCCACGGGAGAAGCACTGAGCTCAGCTGTCAGATGTTACTTTACAAATTAGGAGAAAAAAAAACCCTCTGTTTCCTTAAATCGGATTCTCCAAGCCATGGATGACCCTTATGTGGATTTGCTGACGCTGCTTTTCTGGCTGCAGCAGTCTTGAACTATCTTTATATAAACACCACGGGGCTTTCTGCCTATTGCTATTAAATATATGCTAGCAACTATAAAACTGTGAAGAAAACTTCTTATAAACGCCGTTGTTTCTAGTTTGTTAAACTGCTTTTTCTTTTTAATGCTGGAAGATGAATTCAATTGCCATCTTGTTTCTTGTCTGTAACGTTATATAATGTATATATCCAACAGTTAGGTGATTAAAGCAAAGACTGCCACTCTGTCTTAACTCTTACTGTACTGGGATATTACAGAAGTCTGCTGAAAAGGCTGCTGAGAAAATGTGATGAGTCGGTTTTGGTCTTAATATCCAACCTGTCTAAACTCAGTTGTCTTAAGGTGAATTTTGTGATAACTAACAATGTTCTTAAAAGTTTAAAAAGCGTTTCTGAACGGTCCCGTTTCAGTTCATACTGCAGTGCTTGGCAAACTCCCTTGGTTTGAGGTTGACCTGTAAACTGTTGAATATATCATGAGTTTGGTCAAAACACTTTCTAAACATTTAAGTGAAAATAATTTTTGAGAAAATAAACCATAATGGTTCTTGTATAAAATGTCTCCAAGTACACCCCATTTGCCATAGGGAATATTATGGTGCAGATACTGAGTTATATCTTATTGAAGTGATATGTGTATAAAAATACTGACATGCCTAATAAAAAGCATGGACAGTGGTTGCAAAGTAAATTTTAGTACCAAAACCGATTCCACGCTACAGGTGAATGGTTTGCAAAAGCATGGTTTTAAAGCTGAAGAGCATTGACTATTTTTTGCCATATTGTACTTCATTTGATTTAAAATCATTTGGTTTTTTTCCAAAGTTTAGAAAGTTGTATGCTGAGAAGCATTTTTTTTTCTCATGATGTAATGTACCCCAGAAAGTGGGGTCTGTAGTGAGGAAAAAGGCAGACTAACATAACTTTATTAGAGCTAATGACTATGGTTGTAGTCCATAGCTTTCATTACTGACCTTCTGTAATATCTTGAGATGCTCTAGGTGTCTCAGATGTTTTAAAATAGTGAAAATAAGGAGTTTCTTGGCTTTATGTTTTTAATTTCATCGGGACCTGAAAAGTAAAAGGGGTAATTTCTCGCTTCAGCATCAATTCATACTGTTATTTTGACTGAATCAAACTACCAAAAATCAGGTTTTGGTGCCCTTCTGAAACATGCAAAGAAAGTTCAAAATAAACTGTGGAAACTTAAGGATCTTCCCTGTTTCTGTGTCACTGAAAAACTCAATAAGACATTTGTACACAGGGTCCCTAAACTGCCATAAGTGTCAGCTGGTTATTCCACTTTCCAAAAGAAACCAAATAGAGGATCTGTCTGTGCTCCTTCTGGACCTAAACCCTTTCTTACCCTTCTTGTAACTTAATGAAAAATCCCTTTCTTACTCCTTTTGTATTAATGAAAACCTGTGTGCATGTAGTCCCTTTAAATCACTATTTTGCAGATTTCTTATAAATGTCCTTAATGTTAAAAAGCATTATGCCAGTCAGTATGCATTTCTAGACCGTTTCTAACAGATTAGCAAACGTTTCAAGATACCGAATAAATATTCCATTGCTGACTTGAGATAATGCTTGTTGCAGTTTCATAGTTCTAAGGGATTTTTTTTAAAGGCTGGAAAATGATAGTAAAATAGGAATGCTGTTAATAACTGTAGCTGTGCAAACTTTTATTACAATGTTACCAATGCCTGTTTCATATATTGAATTACCAGCTTTATAAAGGAATTTTCCCTGGTAGATGGCTTGTGGGGGGAATATTTTTTACTTAGTAAAATTATGTTAAATTGTTCTTCAGGTAGAAGATGCACCACTGAGTGGGTTTTCTAATGTTGGTCTGTTTTTTGCAATTTTGTTATTCCAAAATAGCTGCTGTTTGTAAAATAAACTTTTGTATATATCTGCAAATGCTGTTTTCTCTACCTTTGGCAAAATCCTGAGAGAAACGTACGGAAAATTAAAAATATGTTAAGTTCTGTATCCACTTTTGTCCCTTGCAAGTCTGCGAGTTGTCCTTCCTTTTCCTGACCCACATGGAAAATAATTCCTGCGTGAGGCTCTGCACGGAGTTTACATAATAGTCAGAGGAGGAACAAATATTTTGAAGTTTCCAAGTGATTTGAGGTCTCGCCATTTCCTCAAGATACATAAAAGGGTCCTACACTTTGTAAGAAGATATCCTTAACACATCCCTGCGGAAATCTCGAGCTGGGCTCAGGTTAGCTGCCCTGGTAAATGCTCTTTCTCAAACGCACATTCCCGCATCGTTTCCGTTGGAAACACGGGGTTAGTTCAGCTCTGCAGACAAACCCATTGGTCTGCTGGGCCTCCTGCTCCAGAAAAGCTGCATTTCATTGGAAATATTGGCTTTGTCCTAATGCAGAGGCTAATTGCTGTGGTCTGGGGTGAAAAAAAATGGATTTTTCTTGATGGTGAGGACAAGCAGTAGCGTTTCCTTGTGGTCCTTTAGGATAATGCAACTAATGTGGCATTTTCTGATCCTCAGGGCCTTTGCACTGAGGAGGCACATGGGAAATCGAGGCAGGAAAAAGAAGGAGCTGAAGGAAGGAGCTGCAGTGCTGCCAGGCGGATGGAAATGATGGAAATGCCAATGGTAATCCAAGCTAGGGGAGGACCAAATCCCGCCAGTGATTTTGGAGGGAAGGTGGTGCACAAAATACTGCAAGAAATGTTAAACCAACCTCTGCGCTGTAGTCTAAAACACAGGTTCTGTTTTCCCCATCGTTAGACTGGCGCAGTCTGAATTTATGACTCTCAACCTATTTATTGCCAGTTAATAGGATATGCTAGCACTTTTTTTTTTTTTTTTACAAGATCAATATTTTAATGATAGTACAGCACTAATCAAATGGAATGCTAGATAAGTTTATTGGTAGGTGGGTACCAGTTAATTCCTTAAGCTGGAATGGCTGATCTCTCTAAGGAAGCACTGCTGCAGTCCCTCAGCTCTGCAAAAACCTGCCCAATAGAAGCATTTAGGATGCTCTTAACAGCAGTAGCCTTCACTATTCCTCCAAGAAACTTCTAAGTCTTCCTTCTACATAAACTCAGATTAGGCCACCTGCTTAAAACCCCCTTTTTTCCTGCAAGTATACAATGTTGCTTTTTCAGGCTTGAAAAACAATATTCTGTGCAGCGTGAGGGTTTTATCTTTATGGCCCGGATGTATCTCTGGTGCTAAATGTTGAATTTGGCCTCCTGTCCCTGGGTGCCAGGAGTCAGACAGCAAAACAGCAGGGCAGGACACCGGGTGCTGTGACCCTGCTGGTGCAGGGGTCAAAACATCCCCTTGAAGTCGGTGCAGGAGCATCTGTGCTCTGCTTTAGTGCACATAGTGTTCAAAGTGGTACTGATACACAGTTATGTGCTAATAGTTAGAGATAATTTCTGTAAATATTAAGCTGTATAATGGATTTTCTTTAAAAAAACGGGGGGCTTGTCTAAATATGTATGTTCTCAGTTGTTTCCTTAGACTACGCAGTACAGAGGATCCAGGACACTTTTTGGATGTAGCTCTGTAGAGCAAGCGTGCCGCCTCCGGCTGCAGGTAAGTGATTTCCTCCTAACTTGTAAATAGGTAAATAATAAAGGAATTGCCTCATATAAGGGTGTCTATCACACAAACAACTGCTTCCTATAAAACGCACGGTAAAAGAGCAACGACATAAATGCAATTTTCCTAGGATATCCACCCACGGAGAGCTGCGCTCCTCCCGCCTCGCTCGTAAACCCGGGCTGTGTGCGTTTTGGAGCGGTCGAAGCACCCTGTCTGCAGAGCCC